CTCCACCTGCAGTTACGCAAGACCCACCCCGACCCCAGGGCTGCCATGTTGGACAACTCTGAGGGGCTCCCCTGTCTTACATCCACTCTTCCGGGGCCACAGCGGGCCTTCGGGGTCCTTGGTTCACCCCTGGAGGTAGAGGCCATGCTCATCAAGCAGGTTGCAGGGCACCCGGTGGGGAAAAGAACAGCAGAGCCTCTGAGGGAGTTCTCAGGTGTCGGGCCCAGCGGAGACTGTGGCCTCAGTTATCCCAGAGCATCGCCTTTCCTAACACCGCCTGTGGGATGACGCTTATGAGTTGCTCCAGAGGGAGCAGGGCACAGGGCTCTTCCCGTTCTACTTGCAGTGCGTTTGAACCAGAGTTCAGATGACTCTCTCTTTCCTTCAGTGAGATGGAAAAGGTAGCCCAGCACTCCTAGAGGCGAAGCCGGTGAACCCAGCGGGAAAGGCCAGTCGCAACTCTGCAAAGTGCAGCATCAAGGATTGAATGTAGGCCGGCCGCTGTGGGGCGTTTCTTACGAAGGATCCTGAGAACGGAGCCTGAGAACCCTCAGTGCAGACACCGCCTCAGGGAGTGAGTCGTGGGGAAGTAAGAGTGCGGGGAGAGGGAAGTGAGGCCGGCATGGACCAGAGCAAACAGGCTGCGGGACTGCTGGGCTGGCCACAGCCGCAGCTGGTTGCTCAGACAGGGACTGTCTGCAAAGGTGCCGCCGCATTTGGAAGAGGCTACTGAAGGAGAGGAAGGGCAGTTTCTCTCCTGTCTCTTCCCCATCGCCTGCCTCTTGCTGGTCAAAGTCTGCGTCACGAGACTGCCTCCCTCACCTTTCAGAGAGTGTCACCTGACCCCTCACCTTTCAGAGAGTGTCACCTGACCCCCAGGCAACCGGCAGCAGGTGGGCCCAGGCCCTGCAGAGGCACAGGGTGTTTCGCTTGGTGGCCGAGGTGGCAGTGGATTTAACACCATGGGATCGAGTGTCATGGCAGAGGCTTGAGGGACTGGTGAGGTGAGCAGATCCAAGGTGGTAGTACACTCAGTTCAGTTTCTTGAAATCAGTGCATGCCACTTGCACAAATGATCCTGATTTCAGCAAAAGAGTTAGTGAGCAGAAGCTATGATGTAACCAGCATGCGTAGCCTTTGTTACACTTAAAGGGGCAGATAGACTGGCCTTCTTGTCTGGCCGGAGGTTGAATAAAAGATCATGATTAGTTGGAACTGAATTTTTTTTAAATAATAGAGATTCTTGTTTTTTAGTTGATTGATTTTTAAAAAATATTTTTTATTGATTTCAGAGGGGGAAGCGAGAGGAAGAGAGAGATAGAAACATCTCTGAGAGAAACATCTCTGATGAGAGAGAAAAATCATTAGTCAGTTGCCTCCTGCATGGCCCTCACTGGGGTTTGAGCCCACAACCCAGGCATGTGCCCTTGAGCAAAATCGAACCCAGGACCCTTCAGTCTACAGGCCAACACTCTATCCACTGAGCCAAACTGGCTAGGGCTTTAGTTGATGGATCTTAATTTGAGAGGGGGGGAGGGAGTGAAAGAGGAAGGGAGGGATGGAGGGGGGGAGGGAGGGAGGGAGGGAAGAAGGAAGGAAGGAAGGAAGGAAGGAAGGAAGGAAGGAAGGAAGGAAGGAAGGAAGGAAGGAAGAAGAAGAAAGGAAGGAAGGAAGGAAGGAAGAAAAGGAAGGAAGGAAGAAAGGAAGAAAGAAAGATCGTCCATATGTGTGTGTGAGAGAGAAACATAGATTAGTTACCTCCTGTACGTGCCCTGGGAATCTAACCTGTAAACTGGGTATGTGCCCTGACCGGAATCAAAGCTGACACTTTTGTGCACGGGATGATGTTCAATCAGCTGAGCCACGGGGGCCAGGGCAAGGAACTGAATTTGAATTGCAACAGGAAGGCTGCAATTTCAGAAAAACCCTGTTTAGTAGGAACTCAGCCGCCTGAAACTCTCATTAATTAGCAATCTATTGCTGCTTAACACTATTATACATTTAGTGGCTTACAGCACACACTCACTGTCTCACAGCGTCTGTAGGCCCGGAGTCTGGATGTGGCTTAGCGGGGTCCTTCTCGGGGTCTTAGTGGCAGCCATGAAGGGGTTGGCCCAGGCTCCTGGAGGCTTGGCTGGAAAAGGTCGTTTGCACACCGGTTTGAGTTGTTGGCAGGACTCCGTTCCTTGCCATTGTGGGCTGAGTGCTTCAGTTTCTTGCTGGACATTGGCCAGAAACCATTCTCAGCAGCTAGGGGTCTCGCCTGCAGTCCTTGCCACGGGGGCCTCCCCAGCACAGCCATTGCCTCCAGCCATCAAGGAGGAAAAAGAGTCCAGCAAGATGGTGCTACCATCTCCTATAACATAGTCCCATGCACAGCGTCCTGTACACCTGTCACCACTGCCGTTTTCTCTGGTTAGGATCCAGGCACAGGTCCTGTCCAAACTCTGTGAAAGGGATCATACAAGGGTGTGAACACAGGAGACTAGGATCATGGGGCCACATAAGAGTCTCATTTTGCTAGAACTCTATTGACAAGCAAAGGCAGCAAATAAGTAAAAAACAAACAAAAACAAACAAATACCACATGCTTATGCCAGGAATTAGGTTGAAGAAAAAAGCCCCTTGGGATGTGTTGAGCCAACCTACATCACCATCCGCAGCCTCCTCTGTACCAGCGGAAAGATGGCCCAGGGTCCAGTCCATTCTGCCCGCCCACCCCATCGTCCTTCCTCCACCCCCACCTGCTCTTTGTTCAGCAGAGAAATAGGCTCAGTTAGCAGAAGGGAGACTTAGCCTTACTCAGTTGTCAGTTTTTAAACTTTCCAAATTTTCTGCTTATCAATGTACTAGAACATTCAGTTACCGAAGAAAATCCCCATTCCTAAAGCGTCAGGCAGCCTGAGCCTGCTCGAAAAGACAAAGACAGGTTCTGCATGCCGTGCGATGGTCCTGCGTGGACTTGCCTTGGACTAAGCAGCCACGGAACCAAGGGCGCCTCGTTGGGGGCTTGCATCGGGGCAGTCTTGGCCCCCATGGGCAGTCAGCTGTTCCCCTGGGCCTTTTTCCGTTTCCCCGCCTGCCTGCCTGCCTGCCTGCCTGGCCTCGAGTAGGCCCAGCCACTGTGTCAAGATGTAATTGACTGCGTGCCTCGGACCAGCAGGGCGGGAACAATGAGGGGGCGCCTCAGAGGAGGAAGGCTATTTCTAAGGCTCATGGTTCATGGGCCACACAGGCCGTGATTATCATCTTAATTGCAAGGCTGCCAGGCCCTGGCATTCAGGGTGCAGATTGCAACGACCAGAAGCATCTGCAGGCTTAAAAAGAGGTGTTGGAAGCGTCTGTGCTTCAGACCGGAGGAGCCCATTATGACATCTGTCTTTCTTGGCCTCTCCGTTGCAGCGAGACTCCCAGAAAAGAGAGATCTGACCCTCTGTTTCAAGGTCTGACTCAAATCCCACTTCCTCTGGGACCTGTCCCCAAACCCACACCATTCCCATTCCCTCAAGTACTTAGCCCCCTCACCCCACTTCCCTACCTGGAATTCCCTTAGAACACACTGCTCCTACCTCCGATTTGGGGCCGGGGTGGGGGGGGCACAGGATTCTAACGTCACTTCCTGCGGTGTTTTGAGATGTTAAAAAAACCCTTCACTCCGTCTTACACCCCCAGTGGTTCACTCCAGTCTTAACGGGCCTGAGCACCTGTTATGCTCTCTAGTAGCGATTTTCAACCTTTTAAAAACGTGTTTTCATTGATTTTTAGATCGAGAGGAAGGGAGAGGGAGAGAGAGATAGAAACACCAATGAGAGAGCGAATCATTGATGCATTGCCTTCTGCACACCCCCCACTGGGGATCAAGCCCGCAACCTGGGCATATGCCCTTCACCAGAATCAAACCCAGGATCCTTCAGTCCTGGTGATCTATCCACTGAGCCAAACCTGCCAGGGCCAGTGTTGTTTCTTTACACAAGTATTTGAGGGATGATGTGCACACACCAGAATCCGCCCTAATAAGTGGGCAGTTCTCCGAGTTTTGTAAAACACGTATATGGCTGCCGCACAGCTTCTGTAGCCATAGGTTCCAGCACATTCTGCTCTGAAATTCTTTATCGTCTGTGGGCTCTTGGATTCTCCGTCTATAATGCCCATGTGCTGCTCCCAGGAAATGCCCAGTGTCCTCGTCTTGGCCAGTCTAGGAGCCATTTCCCTGAATGGCTTTGACGTCTGGTAGCTGCTCTATTGACAGAGCTAATCCAGAGACAGAACAATGTTGCCCCACAGGGATCAGGGCCCAGTATGTTTTTAAGAGGCCTCACTTGGTTGCAAGAATGTGAGCATGTGGTTGAGTCATAACAAAGCCCGTTTGGGTGGTTCTGGAGTTCGGCAGAGGGCTGAGAAGGCTGATGGGGCGAGTTTTTTCTTTGCGGACGTACATTGAGTCCTGTTCACCTTGCTTTGTCCACAGGTGGGACTGGTAGGCTAGGGCACATGTGTCAAACACAAGGCCCGCGGGCCAAATCCGTCCCGCCAGGCCTTGCAATGTGGCCTGCACCGCGCTGTCATCACTGCACTCCGCTGTGTTTCCATCACAATGACAGTTTATGACTGTTCAGTAAACCATTCGGCCCGCGATTTAGGCTGGATTTTAGATTTTGGCCCCTTCTCTGATTGAGTTCGACACCCCTAGGCTAGGGGGAGAGTGTAGCCAGCGGATCATGGGGGACCACTCTGAGGGCAGGGTAAAGCTTCTTCCTTCTTCATGTCCCTAGCACCTAGCACGGCTCATGGAGGTGTCTGTGTGTGGAGCGACCCATTGAGTGACCTAGGTTGGAGATGGGGCAGGACCATGCCATCTTGGAGTGTCTTACCCATCTCTTCTAGGTTTCTGAAGACGGGAGGGAGCAGCCCACCCCAAGAACCCTGTCTCTATGCGCTGGGGGGACCCCTCCCCGCAGTCCCGAGTAACCTCAGCGGCCTCCTCGCTTCTGTGCTTACAGAATTACTTTGAGAGCTACCTTTCCATCGCTTCCACCGTGCCCTCCGTGCTGTGCCTCGTGGCGAACTTCCTGCTTGTCAACAGGTAGGCACTTTCCTCCCTCTCTCAAGCCCGACCTTCACGACCTTCTCTTCCCGCCTCTTCCACTTCCCTTTGCCCGTAGCTGCTGCTTTTCTGCCTGCTTAAATGGTGGCCACCAAGGTAGGAGGCAGGCAGCTCAGACTCCTCCATGAAGACTGAGAAGCCAGGTCAGTTCCCCGGGGCCCTGCCAGTGGAAGGCCCCGCTTGGAAGCGGACTTCCTGAGCCACACACTGTCACACAGCATCAGCAGCCAGCAGGGGGCGTGGGGAAGCGGGTCTTCTTCCATCTTCCTCTCCAGGGAGCCTCTCTGTCCTGGCTGTCACCGCCTGGATGGCGAGGTGGGGCCGGAAGCAGGTCTTGTGGCAGCTGGTCTTCCGAGCATTTCTGAGAGCAGCTTGGAGGGAAGAGCCCGGCCTCCCAGGAGTCTGGCTCTGGCTGTGTGGGACTGGCTCACCTAACTGCTCGGTGCTGTGCTGGTAACGCCAGCTCGTGTGTCAACTCCTCACAAAGGGACGGGTCGGGGACTTCCAGCCTCTGTTAGTGAGGGGCTGGGAGAGAGCCCCCATCTGGATGCACCATGGAAGAAGGAGTGACTTACGGGACAGCCAGGCCAATAGCACGGCCCTTAGACCCCACTGGGTGGGTGGCTGCTGCCATCCATTCTCAGTCTCGGTTCACAAGGCCAACAGCCCTAGCGACTGCACCAGGTTCCCCCTGCGTTACCGCTAGGTGATAGCAGCTACGCCATGTTTCAGAAACCTGAGTTGGGGCACAGCCTACTGAAATCTTAAATCTCTAATGGCAAACCTGTTTTACCTAACTTTGTAGTGATTGCCTGGATTTCTGGTTGAACAGGAATCTAAGGCACGTTTAGCCTTAGGGAGTGTGCTGTGATGGATTAGTGAGGTCTGCCGGAGTGCAGGAGACGAGAGGGCAACACATGTGCTTCATGTGTGCTTGCTAAGCCTGCTCTGACCAGTCTTTCCGAACATGTTATGCTATGGGACCATTCCAACGATCTGTTGTGTAAAAATTATCCCAAAGCATAGTGACTTAAAGCAGTAACAGTAATTAGTGTCACTCAGGATCCTGGGAATCAGCGGGCTCAGTTGGCAGTTCTGACTTGGTGTCTCTCCCGTGGTTGCAAACAGCCTGGGATTGGAGCTGGCCTCCTTGTGGGCTCCTCTCCTCCACTTCTGTCCCCTCCCCTCCCTTTCTCTCCCCTCCCCTCCCCTCCGCTCCCCTCTCCCTGGAGTCTCTCCCATGTTGGCTTCAGGTAGTAGGGCTTTTCATATTGAGGCTGAAGAACAAGTGCTCCAAGAGACAAGGCAGAAGCCACGTGGTTCTCGTAACCCATTCTCTGCGGTCACATGGTGTCACTTCCATGTCATCGACTCCTCAAGGCAATCACAGAGCCCACTGGCTTCAAGGGGACAGAGACCCCATCTCTCAATGGAGGGAATGTTGAAGAATTTGCACCCATCCTAAAACCAAAGTGCAGCCTGGAAGAGCAAGAAGGAGAATGGTGCTCAGGTGGCCTCAGGGCCCTTGTCCTGGCACATGGGGCTCCCTTCAGTGTCTGAGGACCATTGTCGGCAAACTGTGGCTCTTTGGCCCCTTGAGTGTGGCTCTTCCACAAAATACCACTGCCCGGGCGAGTATTTTGAAGAAATGACATTAGAAGAAGTTTAAGTTTTAAAAATTTGGCTTTCAAAAGAAATTGTTTTACTGTTGATATTTGGCTCTGTTGGCTAATGAGTTTGCCAACCCCTGTCCTCAGAGGTGGGGGTGCAGCCTCCAGAGAGCCCAGCCCTGAGGAGGTGGAGGGATGGAGCTAGGAGCAGAGCTAGGCGTTCCCTCAGCACTGTCAGCCCCTGGAGGCACAGCTGGGTTCCTGGCAGTGACTTGAAAGAGGCGGCATGAGGACAGGAAGGGGGTGGAAGAGGAGGGGGACAGACCCACGTGGAGAGTCCCTCGCTCCTCTCCAGGCCTCTCTCATGATCCTCTGTGTCCACTCTCTTGGCCGGCCCTGGGACAGGGGCTTGTGTAGCTGGGCTAGCCCAGGCACACATAAGTGAGCGCTCCTGCCCCCTTCCTGATCCGGAGTCACTATCTGGACTGTAACAAGTGGTGATGCCTGCAGATCCCCTCGTTGTATCACTTAGGATGCACAGCAACCCAGGAGGGCGGCTGTGGCATTACTGAGTTACCAAGGGTTGTGAAGTCCAGGTCGGGAGCCGTCCTGAGGCCAGGTCAGCAGTGGCAGGGAAGGTCCTCTCGGTGCCCGGAAGAACAGAACGCTCTCTAGTAAGAGCACTGAGCTCTCTGAACACTCGTTCCCTCCTCTGATCCTGGCAACAGCCTAGAACAGGAAACTTGCTGCTTTGTTTCACAGCTGGTCCCAAGGCTCAGAAGAGGGTGCAGCCACCATTGGAGCTGGGACCCTTCTCCCCCACATCTGTGCTTAGAACCTCCGGGCCTCCTACCTCCTAGTTCCCCAGGTCTTCCAGCCCCTCCCTGCAGCCACACCTCAGACCCTTCACCGGAGGGCTTGTGTCGCCCTGGCTTCCAGCTGCTGGGAGGAGGGAGGTGCTTAGGAAGGTCTGGGTCTGCCTGCCCTGGGGACCCCGGGCTGCCGGGTCGGGTCGGGCAGAGAGCTGGCGCTGAGGGCTGAGCGTTTCAGGCTTCCTCCAGAAGGTCCAGCCTGCCCGGGCCTGGCCTTGCCCTCTGCTGCCCCGGGAGAGGGTGAGGGCAATGGGGGAGTGCTCCCAAGCCTCCCCAGGAAGGTGGTTTGAGGCTGAGCTGTCTTTTGTTTCATGTGTGGGAATGAAATGTCTCGTTTTCTCGCCTCCTGGAGAACCCCGGCTTTCTCTGACTGGCTCATCCATAATCGCTGAGCATTTTATTATGTTCAGGCCGAGGCATCATAAATACTTATGAGGAGGATTTACATGTGGGAGATTTGTGAAGAAATCAGTCCCCTGGGGCCCCGAGCCTCTCAAGTAAGGGGGTGTGGGAGCTGGCAGCCAGCTTGGAACAGCTGGCACCCCTCTCCCTGTCTCAGGCCCGTGGGACCTGCCCTGGGTCCAGGGGCTGGAGCAATCTCGGCCTTCCCTATCCCAGCGCAGATCCATCCACGCCGGGGCAACACCTGTCAAGACTTCCCTTAAAATCCCAGCAGCATCCCCATCCCCTGGGCCACTTTCCCTGCCGGGGATGGGAAAGCAGAGAGGAGCCAGCACATCCCATTAGTGTATGCGGGGCAGGCTGCACTAGCGCGTATCCTAAAGCTGTATGAGCACTGAAAACAGCTCTGGGCCAGGCCCCCAGGGCCCGGGGCCCATGGAGGAGAAGGGATTATGTAGCCAGGAATCAGCGGGCCAGGAGCAGACCCTTGCAGGTGAGGGGCCTTATGGTAAGGTGACCAGACGTCCCGTTTTTGGCGGGACAGTCCCGATTTTTAACAATTTGTCCCTCGTCCCGTGGCATTTTTAAAAAGTCCAAAAGATTTAAAAGAATTTTTCAAAAAAAAAATCGGGACTTTTTAAAAACACCTCGGTACACTGGACAAGTTGTTAAAAATCGGAACTGTCCCGCCAAAAGCAGGACATCTAGTCACCTTACCTTTTAATGCATGTGGCATTTACCTCCTCATCCCTGACTCTTCCCCCGCCTCCCCACCCTGTGGGTGCTGGGTAAGAAGTCCCCAGCTCACTGCAAAGCATCTGTCCTGTTCACGCAGCTACGTATGGCGTGGTGACAGGCACCGGAGTTCCCACGAGGCCCCAGAGCTCCAGAGGCGGCCTGTCCCATGGTGTCTGTGAGGAGGAGGGTAGAGGCAGATGCTGTCCCCAGGCCGCCGGAAACGCTGCAGGGGCTCACAGCTACCTCCCTGCCACCCTGCGGGGTCAGGAGGCAGAGTGACTGGGCGGCTCAGACCCAGTGGGAAAGCCGCCCTGCACTGCTGGTACCTTGCTTGTCAGCGTGTGTACCCAGCTGACATTTGCCGGGGGCCTGCGAGGCTCCATGGCAGCCCTTGGGAAAACAGCTTAGATAGGCCTCGTTCTTGTGTAGCCCCAAGTACCTCCCAGTCTGCCCGTCTCCTTACAGAGAGGAAGAGAGAGGGATAGAGAGTTAGAAACATCCATGAGAGAGGATCATCGATCAGCTGCCTCTTGCACACCCCCTACAGGGGATGTGCCTGCAACCCAGGTACATGCCCTTGACCGGAATTGAACCTGGGACCTTTCAGTCCACAGGTCAATGCTCTATCCACTGAGCCAAACCGGTCTCGTCTGCTTGTTCCTTTTTTTTTTTTTTTTTTTGTCCCCAGGAACTGTTAGCACCTTTGGGCATCTGTCCCCAGCCTCTCTCCCGACGGGGTATCTTCAGATTTAGAATCGCCGGCTGGAAGGGACTGGGTGTTATCTTACCCAGCCTCTTCTCTTTGGAGATGAGGAAACCGAGGCCCAGAAAGGTTGACCGTTTGCTTGGGGTCACACACAGTGAGTCGGTGGCAGAGCTGGCCAGATCTCCAGTCTCTGAGGAGTCCCTGCTGGTGCTTCTTTTGAGGGTGAACGGGGCACTCCAGCTGCTGGGGGAGGGTGGGGCCCTGTGCGGCAGCCTTGAGGGTGTAGGATCACCCCAAGCATCAGTGGGAAGGCCGGGCACAAGCCTCCAGGGCACCTGTGTGCACTTACATCGATGCTCAGGGCCCACCGGGGTGCAGTGCTCCACCTGGCTGCCCAGCAGCTCCTGCCCGCCTGCTAGAGCCCTCCAGACCTGGGAAGGTGAGTCTTAGCGTGGGGTTCCCCAGAGATGGACGCTGGAACAAGATTCCACTAAGAAGTAGTTCTTTTGGGAGGTGAAGGTAGGAGAATGGGGAAAGGAGGCCCGGAAGGAAAGGCTGGCAATAAAGAATGCCCGCAGGGTGTGCCACGCCTGACCTGCCAGGCTAGCTCTGGGTTCCTGTGAAGCTCACACCCCGTGGGAGGGGCTGGGGTGTTTGTCCACCCCCTTCCTGGGCACTGGTTGAAGTTTGCTCTTAGCAGGTGCTAATCACCTGACGCTTGCAGCCTGCTTCCTAGCAAGAGGGTGGGCCCATGGGCGGGCACCCTGAGCATGTGCTCCCCAGCTGGGAGCCCTGATTGCCTCTGTTACTCTCCGTGACACACAATAGAGACAGGAGAAGGACTTTCTCATTCTTCACCTGGGAAGCTGCAGTCAGGTCTGCCTCCAGGCTATGTTGCTGCTGGGACTCTGCAGACCCGGGTTCTAGTCCCAGCTCCCCACAGACTGACACCTCGACTCTGGACCATCCCTTCGCTTCTTGGGCTTCCTTCTGCCTTAGAAGGCACAGGCAGCCCCTGCTCCTTCAGCGGGATCAGAGGGAACAGAGTAGCCTGGGGCCACAAAAGCACTTAGAAAAATGTTTCTTGCTTTTCATGTTCATCATTTCACACCTATTTATGTACATTTTTTCTACCTTTCAAATCTTTTTTATTTTTTTTTCCCAAAAAAGAAATTGTGTATAACTAATCTGGCTTTTCTCCCAGCCCTTACCCACTGGTTAGCAGGAAAATTAACTTAACTTCCAATCCGATTTAAAGCTTAGTCTAATCTGATTATTTAAACAGCCTCTTTATTATTATTATTATTTATTTTATTTTTTTGAAGCAGCCTCTTTAGATGAGGTTCTCTCTCCCTGGAATAAAAATGTGCAATTTCTTTGAGAGTCAGACTTCCCTCTCCTCCCTGGAGGGCAGTGTCTGTCAGGTTGGGGCCTGGGAGGAGAGTAGGCCTTACATTGGGGCTGGGAGGTGGGGCCAGGGACTGGCCATGAGCTGCTCAGGGTGGCCTCAGATGCTGCCCACAAGGGAGACCGTCCCAGGAGAGCCCTGCCTGGCCACTTGTCTGGACCACCTGTGTTTCCTTTGTCCCAGGGAGGCTCCTTAGTGTCCATCCTGAAACCAGACTGCAGCAGACCCGGGTTCGCAGCCTAATGACCTTGGGCGAGCTCCTCAGCTTCTCTGACCCCAGTTTCTATGTGTCCCTGTGGGATAGGTAGGAGTGCCTGTCTGTGGAGCTGGTGTGTGAATTCAGCATTAACGTGTCGAAAACGCTTAGCAGCGTACCTACTCAAGTTAAGTGCCCAGTGTTTGCTGCGACCATGACAGTGCTGATGTGTTCCTGCTTTCTCTTTTCTCCCTTCACTGCTACTCTGTTAAACACTAGCAAGTCAGCAGGAGCTCCTGTGGCAGGAGGAGCGGGGGGCTTGCCCCAAGAGCCCGCACGCTCTGTCCTGAGCCTCACAGCAAGACAGAAAGAAGCAGCGTCCGCCCTGCATTTGCTCTGAGCCAGACCCTGCCCTCTGCACTCTGCACACACCCCTGTAGAGGTTTTCACAGCCGCTCCTGCAGGTAGATAAGGCCCCCTCCCGGTGGCACAGGTGCAGGAGCTGGCACCAGTGCAGTTGAGTCACTTATCCAGGGCCGCACAGCTAGTGCGCTGGGAAGGGCAGGATTCAGACCCAGGCCTCCGAGCTGCAGATGGACAGCCCCAGTCACGGAGCTCCCCCGCTTCCCTTAAGAATCTCCACCCCCCGCCCACGGCCTGGCATGGAGCCCGAGGGGGTCTCTAACCGCTTCTGCATCTCCACCCTAGAGTTCCGATTCATGTTCGTGTGCTGGCCTCGCTGACTGTCATGCTGGCCATCTTCGTGGTAATGACCGTGCTGGTGAAGGTAGACACCTCCTCCTGGACCCAGAGCTTCTTTGCTGTCACCATCGCCTGCATGGCCGTCCTCAGTGGCACCTCCACCGTCTTCAATAGCAGCGTCTTCGGCATGACGGGCTCCTTCCCGATGAGGAACTCCCAGGCGCTGATATCAGGTGAGAGCTGGGCTCCAGACAGCCAGATGTCCCAATGAGATAAAAGGGAATTGGGTCAGGTGGGGAGACCACCACCTCGTAAAGCAAGACTGGGGGTGCAGCCGCTCTGCTCGGCGTCTCCACACACCCCGTCATGTGAAGCAGCGCTGTGAGCATTTGCCCCCTGCCTGGAGGAGAATTTCACAAAGAACCCACTGTGTGCCCATAGTGAATATGCCAGGTTGTATGTGGCAGCAATGACAAATACCTCGACAAGGGTACATCCCCTTCCCACTTCCACACCAGTGCCAGAAATCACTCATAGATCTGGATCTTTCCTCCTGAGCCTCTAAATCAAGCATGTCAAACTCAAAGGCTAACACGGGCCAAATAAACAAGGCATGTAGCTCAAGAGTCGTGAGTTTGACATGCTTGCTCTAAATCCTTCTCAACACAGCCCTGGAGGTAGCTACTGTCCACAGATCAGAGTTAGATGTGACCTCAACTCTAATTGCTATTTCTGATGTAGGATTGGACTCAGACATTCTGGTTCTTGAGTCTGTGCCCTTGGGCCTAAAATGAAATAAGAATGGACCCATTGTTACGTTTCCGGAGTGTAATCCATGTATCTAAGCAATGCTTCAAGAAGGGCAGGCCCAGGCTGGAGGAGTGGCCACTGATGCTGGACCTAACCCCTCTGTCATCCCCAGCTGAGAGAGAACTCTTGTCCCCTCAGCTCCCTCCCTCTGCTGGAAGGTGTATTACCAATAAAGCGCCAACCATGCCCGTTACCCCTCAGGGGCCAGTGACCAAACACACCGTGCATGTTGGCAAGAGCCCTTCAGGTTCCTCTGGCCACCCACGAATCTTCTAGAGAAGGGGATGGGTGCTCCCTGAACTTTCAGAAAGTCCAGTTTTGAAAAAACGTTGAAACCCAGGACTCACCCTTTTGTATCCCTCCCCCCGGGCCCTGAGCCTTTGTCGTCACTGTGCCCAGCCCTGTGGGCGCCCATCACTCTGGAAGGTCCCTGGGGCTCGCTTTCCCCAAGGCCCCAGTGCCACCTCGCCAGCCCCAGTTCTTCGTCCAGAGGAGCCCATCTGTGAATTCTGCCCGTGTAGGCATCTGAGGAACAATTCATCCGTCCCACACTGATGTTTTTTTTAAACCCCTCATTTGCATGTATTTCCATAACTGATGAGATAAAAGTAGAGAGTCATGAAGGATGAGCTCCCCGAGGCCTGGCTTGTTGTTGATGATAATATTGTACATTTCCTACGACTTGGGGAGAGAGGGGGGAGCATCAATAGGCAGTGATGTTCGGTCTCCTCCTCGGGGCAGCCGGGGGATGTCTTACCGAGTTTAACCCCACTTCTTACAAAACGCCCAGGTGGGGATTACAGCTTCTCAGAAGTTGGCAGCCTCCTGGCAAAGGGTTTACCCCGTTGTTGCTGCTTTGATGTAGGAAGGACAGAAATAGCCAAGCCCCTAATTGAGAATCTGAGAGGATTTATATGGTACTTCTCTGCGCCAGGTGCTCCTCTGAGCGCTTTGATGTAATAATACTTTTAATCCTTGTAACAACCCTAAAAGGTGGGGTTTACTAACATCCCCCATTTTAAAGATGAGGAAATGGGTTGGGGGGCACAGAGAGCATAAGTGACTTGCTGAAGCTCACACAGCCAGGGAGGTAGAGCCAGGTTTGGACTCCGATGTTCTGGTTCTTGAGTCTGTGCTCTTAAGCACTCCTTCCTGCACAGAGCTGTGTGCTGTTTGCTGTTTGCAGTCAGCCACTTCTTGCTTCCTTGAGAATAAAAATTTATTCATTCAGCCCTAGCTCAGGGGCTAGAGCATCGGCCTGCAGATGGTAGGGTTACGGGTTTGATTCCAGTCAAGGGGACGTGCCTGGGTTGTGGCTTGGTCCCCAGAAAGGGATCTGCAGGAGGCAGCCCAGCCTTGGCTCCTTTCCCCAGCCCTTTCTGGTTTCCCGGTTCCCAGCTTTAATAAAGGTCCTCTAAAATTCAAAACAGAGAGAGAGAGAGAGAGAGAGAGAGAGAGAGAATGAGGGAGAGAGAGATGGAGGGTCAAGGGTCAGAGATGAACTAGAAAACAGGCAAAATCTTGGAGGCCACTTGCCCACCTCAGACAGCAGCCTCTTCCAAGCCCATCAGAGAGAGCCTGGGGCAGGGACATGAGTACGCTGACAGCTTAGAGCTGGAGAGCTTGTGGCTGCAGGGTCTAGGACACAGAACTGCAGAGTTGGCTTCGGAAGGGAAAAATGGTTTTGATGCTTTTAAACTTGAGCAGAGAGGAGGCAGCCTGAGATGCAGGGAAGATGGACCCGCCCCCGCCCTCCTCCCTGACGCCCTGTGCTCCTGCAGGAGGAGCCATGGGCGGCACCATCAGTGCCGTGGCCTCCCTGGTGGACCTGGCGTTGTCCAACAACGTGACGGACAGCACCCTGGCCTTCTTCCTCACTGCGGACGTCTTCCTCGCACTCTGCATCGGCCTCTACCTGCTGCTGCCCCGGCTGGAGTACGCCAGGTGAGGCCCTGCCTCGCGCTCTCTCCGGTCACTCTTCTATGTGGTTCTGTCTCTTCTCCTCCTCCTCCTCCTCCTCCTCCTCCTCCTCCTCCTCCTCCTTCTTCTTCTTTTTTAATATATTTTATATTTTGTACAGAGAGGAAGGGAGAGAGATACAGAGTTAGAAACATCGATGAGAGATAGTCATCGATCAGCTGCCTCTTGCACACCCCCTACTGGGGATATGCCCGCAACCGGTTTCGGCTGGTTCTGTCTCTTCTATCTATTGTACTAATGTCATTTCATAGAAGTAGGTGGCGCCGAAACCGGTTTGGCTCAGTGGATAGAGCGTCGGTCTGCGGACTGAAAGGTCCCGGGTTCGATTTCGGTCAAGGGCATGTACCTTGGTTGCAGGCACATCCCCAGTAGGGGGTGTGCAGGAGGCAGCTGGTCGATGATTCTTTCTCACCGATGTTTCTAGCTATCTAGCCCTCTCCCTTCCTCTCTGTGAAGAATCAATAAAAAATATAATAAATAAATAAAAAAAGAAGAAGAAGTAGGTGGCATGTTTGTTTCCTTGTTTACTCTCCGTCTCCTCGTTGGAGGGTGAGCTCTCGGGAGCAGAATTGTGTAGATTTTGCTCACTGCTGTGTCCCGGGGCCTTGAACTGTGCTGTGCTCATAGTAGTTGCTCAGTAAATTGACTGACCAGTGGATGTGAGAGGTCAGCAAGTGTTCGGACAGAGAGGGCAGGTGGTGGAGTGGGACCTGAGGAGTGAGGATGATGAATAATCGCTCCATCCAGGAGCACCTCCGCTGCCCCGGCCTTGTGCTCCGCGAGGCCCGGTGGCTTGTCTCTCCTGTGATGTTCATATGCTTGTTCCCCGCAGGAGGCAACATGGCCATTCATCCTGATGGGTGCCCGTCGCCTGGGAGAGGACCTGGCACGGAAAGCTTGAGTTGCTTGCCTGAGTTGCACAGCCTGCTGGGGTTTGCATGCCAGGCCTGCAGGTCCCCTGCCTGGTCCCTGGAAATCCCAAGCTTCCTTTCTGGGCCCTCTGACCACGTGTCTTCTCCCCTGGCAGGTACTACATGAGGCCCGTCTGGCCCGCCCACGTGTATTCTGGCGAAGAGCAGCCGTGCCAGGACTCCCCCGGCTCCCCTCTGGCGGCCCCCAGACCCAGCTTCTCCCCGACGCCGCCCCTGCGCCCCATCCTAAAGAAGACCGCCGGCCTGGGCTTCTGCGTCATCTACCTCCTCTTCATCACCAGCGTCATCTTCCCCGCCGTCTCCACCAGCATCGAGTCCCTGGACAAGGCCTCGGGCTCGCCCTGGACCACCAAGTTCTTCGTCCCCCTCACCGCCTTCCTCCTGTTCAACTTCTCGGACCTGTGCGGCCGGCAGATCACGGCCTGGATCCAGGTGCCGGGGCCCAGGAGTAAGGTGCTCCCCGCGCTGGTGCTGCTCCGGACCGGCCTCGTCCCCCTCTTTGTGTTCTGCAACTACCAGCCCCGGGTCCACCTGCAGACGGTGGTCTTCCCGTCCGACATCTACCCAGTGGTGTTCAGCTCCCTGCTGGGCCTCAGCAACGGCTACCTCAGCACGCTGGCCCTCATCTACGGGCCGAAGCTCGTGCCCAGGGAACTGGCGGAGGCCACAGGGGTGGTGATGTCCTTTTACATGTACTTGGGCTTGGTACTTGGCTCAGCCTGCTCGGCCCTGCTTGTGCACCTCATCTAGGAGCGGGCGGTGGCGAGAGGGCCGGTGCTGAGCAGCCCTGCTTGGGAGCTCAGAGAGACGACAGGACCCGCCCGGAGGGCTGGAGCTGGGCTCTGTGTGGACAGCAGAGCACATGGGGCCTCATCTGTCCCCAGGGAGCTGGTGGCATGTGCTGCCTCCGGGTCAGGCAGAAACATTCCAGACACCTTAGCAGAACGATCCTGAGACGTGAAGACAAAAGATGAGATAAAAGACGTCTGAGTAAGACACAGCCACAGGCACGCTCTGCCTTTCCGCAGAGCCTGTTGGGGACTGGGTGGTCAGTGTTCAGCTCAGAGAAGTGCCAACACCCCACCTTGCTCCTCCCGGCTGACAGCAAGGTGTGGGAATTCTCGGCCCTCCCTAACCAGAGGGGTCCTCCTGGAGAGGAAGTCCCCATGGGATGGCCAGACTTTAGGTACAAGACCCAAGCCTGTGCAGACCCTGCTTTCTGGGGGTGAGAGAGCACCCACCTACCAGACTGGGACCCCCAAAAGAGGCCTTCGGAGCCCTACATTCCTTCAGCGCTGGCTCCAGAAAGCATCCCGGGACTGGAGACGAAGCTTGTCAGGCCTGTGTTTTCAAACAGGACTCTTTACATGGTCTTGGCCTGGGTCAGGGCTGGGTCTTTTGACACTGATGTTTACAACATGGTCATAGGTTCAAGGGCATAATAAATACCTGGGTATTTAATGAAGGGCCTGTGTGAGGGTCTTGGCAGGAAAGAACACACTCACAATGGGTAATTTGAGGATATTTGAAAAGTGGGAATAGGGCTGGGGGGCACATCTAACCTGCTGTGACCTTCAAGAGGTAAATTTCCTCCCTCCCTCCCTCCCTCCCTCCCTCCCTCCCTCCCTCCCTCCCTCCCTCCCTCCCTCCCTCCCTCCCTCCCTTGCTCCCTCCTTCCCTCCCTCCTTCCCATCTCCTTCGCTCTCCTCCCAGTCCCTGAGGCCTGTACCACAGCCAAGGCGCAGGCGCAGATGATGGAGAACGGATGGAGAGGCAGAAGGTATTCAGCTCAGGGCCTTGCCTAAGGTGGGGCCACTAGCAGCTCCACTTCCACAGGTTTGTTTATTAACATCAGCAGAGCTCTGAAGCTTCCATCAACAGACTGTTGCTCTGTCCCAGGTGGTCGTGTATTTTGAAGCTGTTCTTTCAAAAGGTGACCTTCGTGTTCCATGGCCCCCCCCCACATTTGCGATCGCCTGACATGAGTAGTCATTTATATGGTTTTCGGGTTCCTTGAAGGCTTCTGCAAGGCCGTTCCTTGGGGGAGCAAGTGGGCTTGGGAATCAGAGAGAGAAAGGAACCAGATCAGACCAGTTCTTTCTCAGGAGTCCTACCTCAAGAACAGAGAGCTTGCCCCCAAGAAGTGGCACCCCTCGAGCCATAAATCAGCCGGCTCCTTTGAGCTCTGGCTCTGAGATGTCCTGCAGACCAGCAGTCGCCAACCTTTCAGACCTCACGGGCCACCAGTGGTCCCCGGGCCACCGGCTGGCCACCGCTGCTGCAGACAACTGACTAAACTGGGCTGCGGCTGGTAATACGCCCAATGGCAGCAGCTTCTGTTCTCTGCATCTCAGGCTGCTATACACTCCCTCTCCTGGGGCCAGAGAATTAAGGAGGACAGGCTTGAAAGGTGTCTTGAAACTTGATACCTTAAAAAAGGTATTCAGTGCATTTTAACATAAATCCCTCCCCTTGCAGGAGCCTGAACCCCCCCTGGGTTTGTTCACCCACTTGAGCGCGGCTGATCATTGGGGGTATCTGTCTGTCTGGCGACGCGTTTCAACCTCAGGTGTTTTACGAATGGGCAGCAGGTCTGCTTTCAAGTAAAACCGCAGTCTCTGAGCTCAGACACGGGGACCACCTTGGAGCTAAGAAGGAGGAGTGGGGGTCTCGCGTGCTCCGTTAAAGGGGAATAGCTTTCAGAAGTATAGATGTCCTTATTACGTGATTTGAAATGAGCACAGAGGGCAAGGGAGGAGGTGGCCAGCATGATGATGAGGTGACTGGGCAATAGCAATGCCAGCTCCACTGGGGAGCAGGGCTGCTCTGAGCTGGGAGGGCCAGCTGCTTGGCAGGGGCCGGATACTCAGCCTTCCTTGCCCACTGCTCTTTGTTGCTCACTTTAGTGGGGTTTCACAGAGGATCCTTCCTTCCCAGGGAGGGAGGAAAGAAAACAAAATATATCTCCAGGCGGAGGGCAGGTGGTGGAGTTCAGGCATCGTACCCCCTCCCTGTCGGAGCAGCTCATGGGGCTTGGCTGCTGTGGGTCTCGAGTCTTGTAGAGCTTGCTTGGGGAACTAGCTCACATGCTTTTGGGAGTGAACCGAACTTGCTAAAGAGAAGGGGATTTCACAGCGAGAGAGGTGGGCTGGGTGTGGTGGGGGGATCTCGGGAAAGCTGCCTTTGTCTATTGGTTTTTGTTTAATCCAAGTGCCAGTCTTTAGTTCATGCCCTTGTAAGTTTCCAGGCCATGCACATTTTCCTTTTCCTTCTTTTATTCAGCAAAGTAAGTCAGAGGCAGCCAAATGGGTTGACTTCAACGAGTGGGTGGCGGGTGCGTCTACAAAAGTGCTTGTTCCTACGTGCATGGGCACGTGAGGGGACTCGATCCAGGGGTGGGTTTTATTAGCAAACACCCTTCATTTTGCTGCCTTCAACCTGTTGCTCCCGAGAGAAGATTTGGGGCATCTTCATCAGCTTGGACGTGATGCAGGAGGCCACCGCAGGACCCCGGCTTCTGAGGCCTGGAATGCTCTTACAGAGAACTCCACATAGAAGAGACTTTACCGCAGCGGGCCTTCATTGAAAGCCCGGTGGTTGTCACATCTCTGTGGTATTTCTGAGAGAAAGCACTTAGAATCCATTTTACTCTCATCCTTCCTTGGTGGCAAAGTTGTTACTGCCCTCCACCCACTGGCTGAGGTTGGTCCAGTTCCCAGTCCAGCTTTGACCCCGGCAGGATCCCAGAAAGAATGTCAGCCTACCAGCAGGCAGAGGCAGGGACTAGCCACAGACCAGGGTCCAGGGCAGCCTGTCTACCAGCTTCCCAGACCCCTGCCTAATGCTACCCTGTGATGGGTGCTTTACCCGCATGATTCCCCCTGTCTGTAGAGGGGCACAGTGAGGCTCAGAGTGGTTAAGTAACCTCCCCAAGGCCACTCAGCTCCTAAGTGGCACAGACAAGAATCAGACCTGATCTTCCTAAACTCTTAAGTTCTCACCCACCCTGCTCTCTTGCTCCCCTGGTTGAGCCCTGGTTCTCCTCTTGGTTCTTGACACCTGCTGTTCCTATTCCTAATCCATGGCCTGCCTGGAGTCTTGTGCCAAGTATATATGTCTTGCCCATGGCACTGGCTCTGATGAGGGCAGCTGGCCAGACCCCTGCTGGACGGAGCCCCCGTGGGTCCTGATCCTGGGCCCACGTCAGACCCACTCCCACCGCTCCTCAGGCATGAGATCTGGGGCTGCTTCCAGGCCCTGCCCTCCTCCCCAGTCCCTGCCGCTGAGGTCGCCCCAGCATGGCTGCTGCTGCTGGACTTGTAGGACATGGGGGTGCAGGACACAGAACACAGCCTGGGGGTAAGGATGCCTTACTCCCAGCCCCACCAGCCACTGGCTGTGAGTCACATGCCCTTTCTGAGCATATTTCCCCATCTGGAAAGGGGATGACAAAGTCCTGGCGTGACCGCTGTGCCAGTGACCAGCTGGCCACACCCAGTCATGCCCACTCCCCAGCCCACAGGCAGAGTGACACCAGGGCTCACAGCCTTCGCAGCAGGGTGACTCAGGGGCACAGTGCACAGCCTCCGCTCCCACCCACGTGTCCGCCACTTGGGATGCGTGAAGGCGCGTCAGCCTGAGAGGATGACCTCAACTTCAGGCTGCAGTGGGCTTGACCCCAAAGAATAGCATTGACGGCCATGCTTTCTACCCCCACAAGTCTCCAGCCAGCTGACCCATTGGCCCCGTGCACTCCACTGAGAAGTGCCCTTGACCAGAAGTTGGAGGGAACCTGGGACGTCAGCATGGGGTTGAGGAGTAGGCAGTCAGGTTCCAGGTGCCCACACCAAGGTTGGAATTCTGGTTCTGTCAACTCCTAGCTAGGTCACTTCAGCCCAGTCTTGCCGAGACTTTCTCGTGTCTAAAATGAGAAGCCTCAGGCCTGTTGTAAGGATTCAATAGGCCCTGGTATTGTAGACACAGTACCTGGCATGTAGCAGGTCCTCAACAAATGTGTTTTCCGCCCACATTTTGCTGCTGCATGGAGAGTCTATTGCAGTGCCCAGCTCCTTCCCTATGGTGGGCTGTACCCTGCACCCAGTGCTTAGTACCCAACCCTCTTCGGTTCCCCAGCCCCAGGGTCTGGGCCAGCACCTCCAAGTCTGATATCTGTCCTTTGATGCAGAGGTCCCTGCTTGAGTCCTGCCCAGACACACCTGGCCTAGGACAGAGTGCATGGGGCAGAAAGCGAAATCTGAGACCCCAGACCAAGCTCTGCCCCCAAATCTGACCTCTGGGCAAGCCACCTCACTTTTTCCCTAAGCCTCAGCTGGGAAAATGGACATCCTAGCATCTGTCCTGCCTTCATTATGGACATGTGGCCAAGTGCACAGATTCCCTCCTGTCCTATGATGGTTCCTAGGGTCTGCCCTCCAGAGCCACACTGCCTATGTCTGAATCCTCACCACTTCTAGCTGCGTGACCATGGGCAAGTTCAACCTGCCTCTGTTTTCTCATCTGACAACGGGGACGATTGAAGGACAGGTCTCAGATCTGGGTGTGTACATTAAATGGTCTAGTGGGGATGCATATAAAGCATTCAGAATTGAGCCTGGTGTGTAATTGGTGCTCATCACCAGTTCCTGGAAGGCTGTAAGTTCAGACCCCACTTGGAAAACCGCCATGCTAGACCACCAGAGACTGATGAGGGCTCCTCAGGAGCTCACATCTGGCCCAGGGAGAGAGACAAGGGTTCCGTCTGCTCTGTTCCAGTTGAGGGATCAGGACTGGGAAGTCTTTCTAGTAGATAAAGCACCGTGGACTCACTCATCGTTCTTAACAGTGTGCACAGATTTAGGGCAGAGCCTCTGCATTTTAAGTGCCAAGCTCCTCTTCTCCACCAGCCCCCAAGGTTGGCACCCAGTGGCCTTACTCTCAACTGCATTTACCACCTGCTCCCTTCACCATAAATATTCAGGAGGGATGGGGGGTTGAGTGAGAAGGGATAAGGCTTGAGGGGCATGTCAGTCCCAGCCCACAGCTTGGAATTGACAAGTTGGAAGTTGTGGTCTCACTCCTCCTGGGCATTGCTGTCACTGGGGCGCAACAGGAGTGGGGGGTCGGGGGTGCAGGGCCGCCTTCTGCTAGGGGCCGGGTCACACCTTCTACCTGTTCTCTGCAGCTCATTAGCTGCTAAGGTGGTGGTAACATTTTCATTTTGCTGAGTCTTTGCTGAGATTCAAAAAGGGAAATGAGCCGTTACCAAACAGCAGCCCTTTTTGAAACAGAAACTGAAGTTGACTGCATTTTCTAGTCCCATTTTGAGAGCTAAGAATGTGGAAGTCAGCCTTGCTTTGTCCAAGTTGTCTTTCAGAAGAGGGTTGTCTGGGCCTTGCCTCCTGTTCACCAGCCTATGTGGGAAAGAAACAAGAATCAAATGTCAAAATGTGCCAGGCCTGTTAGTGC